GATATTTATGGAGATACCACCAGGGTTTAAAAAAAAAATTGAAGATAACAGGGTGTACAGACTGAAAAAGGCTCTATATAGGCTCAAACAATCACCTAGGGCCTGGTTCGGAAGATTCTCTAAATTCATGCTCCTGAATGGATATCGATAGAGTCAAGGTGATCATACATTATTCTTTAAACATTCAAACTCATGGGGAGCCACAATATTATTAGTGTATGTTGATGACATTATTTTAACTCGAGATAATGAAGAGGAGAAAGTCAGTTTAAGAAAAAGTCTTACTAAGGAATTTCACATCAAAAAACTTGGTAGACTAAAATACTTTTTCGGAATTGAAGTAGCTCACTCCAGCAAAGGAATCTTCATTTCACAACAGAAATATATCAAAGATCTTCTAAAAGAAACAGGTAAACTAGCTTATAAACCAGCACCAACACCAGTAGAACATAATCTTAAACTGGGGGAAGTTAAAGAAGATCCAGATGTAGATAAAGGGGCCTACCAGAGACTTGTAGAGAAATTGATCTACCTCTATCACACTAGACCAAATATATAACATTTGTTGTAAGCATGGTCAGTCAGTTTATGCATAATCCAAAACAGATTCACATGCAAGCGGTAGATAGGATATTGCACTACCTTAAAGGAAGACCGAGAAAAGGGATTCTCTTTAAGAGAGATTGTGGAATAACCCTAGAAGTATACACGGATGCTGACTACGCAGGATCACCAGTTGATAGAAGATCTACCTCTGGGTATTGCACATTTCTTGGAGGTAACGTAGTTGCATGGAAGAGCAAGAAACAGAATGTGGTGGCAAGATCCAGTGCAGAAGCAGAATATTGAGCTATGACCTTGAGAATATATGAGCTACTATGGATCAAAATAATCCTAGAAGACTTAAAAGTTAAGTGGGATGAGCCCATGAAGCTACATTGTGACAACAAATCAGCAATCAACATAGCCCACAATCCAGTCCAGCACGATAGGACCAAGCACATAGAAATAGACAAACATTTTATTAAAGAAAAACTAGACGGTGGTCTAGTAAGTGTCGACCATGTATCATCAAACGATCAACTTGCAGATATCCTTACTAAAGGATCGGACAATTCTTCGTTTCTTAGAATGATTGACAAGCTGAGATGATAGATCCATATTTCCCAGCTTGAGAGGGAGTGTTGAAATCTAGCTGTTTCCAATACAGAGGATCCGACGGACACAAAGATCAATCCGTGCGATGCTCTCATGGATCACGCCTTAATGAAGGAACGAATTTAGGAAAGATTTTATTAGAAATTTTATGTATTTTATTATTTCCTCATTAGGATATCTTATATAGATCTATAAATAGGGAAGATTGTAATGAATAAAGACAAGCTTTTCCCTCTCAAATTCCTGTTTTAATAGAGGCCTATATATAGTGGCCTCTTTGTAAAAAGATGATGAATATTTGGATGAAAAGTTTATGTTTGTCTTCTTCATCTTGTGTGTGCGTTAGAGAGAAGATAGAGAGCCCGAGGTAAGGGCGGGCGTAATACCCACCAGTCATTGGAAGAGTCCGTGACTCGTGGTCTATCTCATCCTTCCCCTTTCTTCCTTCCTCCACCCGCCGACCCCTAGCTTCCTCCCAAGCCGCCGGCCACATACCTCTCTACCCAACCCACCGGCCACCTTCATGCCATCCTCAAATCCTTTGACGCTAAACCTTACCCATCCCCACCGCCGGCCGAAACCCTTTCTTCAAGCTCCATCGCCGGCCCACCCATTAAACCATTCCATTATGATGATTTCAATCATTATAACTCCCTTCCTAAATTAGCTCCAAGATAAAAGGAAAGTAATTACCTCAATTTGAAATTTGAAATTCAAATTTCAAAAACTTTCCTTATTTGCAAATCTTAATTAGGAAAGTGCATAAATTCAAGTCTATTTGAAATTCAAATTAAATTGAATTTCATGACATATTTCCTAATTCCCATGCGTTGTTTTGGAAACTCATAAAACTCTCCCCACAACTCCCTCCCTCCTCTTCATACCGCCGGCCTACCCATTAATGGGCTCAATCTTATTGCTTCATATTAAGGCTCCCTCCCACTTTAATTTGAATTCAAAATTCAAATTAAATCCCGCCAAATCCACTTAAAAATCTGAAATTAATTTCATATTTTTTTATTAATTTCCCTCTCCTCTTCTAACCTAATCCAAGCTCACACCCAAACCGCTCATCCCCTTCTCCCCACTTTGGCCGCCCCCATTACCTCGCATCCTCTCTCTTGGGAAACCCTAGTTTGCTCATGAGACTTGAAGCCAAGAGAAGAAGGCGTCCTTCTCTCCCAACCTCATTGTCATTGGTGCATGGCCGATCCTGAGGTCGATCATGGCCTCGCTTACAACGCCCTCGGGGAAATCGGCATTCTCTGCTCCCCTTTCTACGAGCCCGACTTGGAGTACGACAAATCGGTGGAAGACTACGTCAATCACACCTTCTACTGTCTAGTGGGGACGATTGATCTTCAAAACCCAAAGACGCCTTGGCTCATCAACAGTCACCCGCCGCCTCCTCCACTATCGACTACTTCTCCATCAACGAAGATCTTCGGCGCCATCTTGTTAGTGGTAATCTCCTTCTTTATAGGGTATATTTCTCCACTAAAGCCTAAGAGTGGAAGAGTGAGAAGGTGCTTAAGGTGAACTTCTCATTATTAAGTGTTGGGTTTTGTTATGAGCATGTAACGTCTACTATTGTTTTGAATTTTTGATTAAATTGTTTGGCTAATCTCAATAGCACTTCTTTGCCGAAGCAAGTTAAAAATTTTGAATTCCAAAATCAATCTTTATTGCAAGAAATAATTCTATATCGGCACGTTTTGGTCAATTAATCACTATAATTTCTCAAGTAGCTCCAACATGTTTCACATCATCTTGGTATCAGAGCATGGTAAGCATATATTGCATGTGCTAGAAGTTCCTATGAGTCTAGTTAACCTTTCCAAAACTCGTTTGCATGCATACCATTGCCTAGTTATTTTAATTGTCTGTTTTTCCTTGCTGCCCATTTAATTCCTGCACCGTTTACATCACTTTAAGCAAGTCTATTTCATTGTTTAAGTGTTTTCCTTGTTACAATAACATCCCTAGTTGTCTAGGTTACTTAAAAATTCTTTATAGCTTGCTGTCTCGAAAATTTCTGCAGCATTTAGAGGGCTTTTGGTGAACCTAACCTAGTGTTTAGGTGCTGTCCACTTCCCAAAACCCATCCTAAACACCTAAGCATCTTCACCAACTGTTGTGGTTTGCTGTCCACACAAAATCTGCACCATTTAGTTGCATTAGGAGCATTTCATTGAGTGTCTTAGTGCTGTCCAAGCCTTAGCAACCTTCCTAAGTGCCTAGGTTACTTAAACCACTAGTGTAGCTCACTGTCCAAACAATTTCTGCACCCTTTAGTGAGTTTAAGTGAGCCTAACTTAGTGTCTAAATGATATCCCTTACATCCACTTTTCATTAAACATCATTTAGCGCTTTCCAATAGACCCGATAGGACTTCAAAAGAAGTTAGATGACAACAATAACCTAGTGGGCTCTATGATTAAAACTATGACGGAGAAGCATGTTGACTCTCCCCACTCTAAGTACGTACCCCACTCGATTAATCATGTTAGTCGGGAGATTTCCCACACTGCTTATCAATCTAGACTTAAGCCTAAAGCCGCAACAACCTCACTTAGAGTCACATTACCGTCTACCCGCCTTTGATGGTTCCTTGGACCCTTATTACTTTAGGGAATGGGTTAGACAATTAGAGGACTATTTTGAATCACGTCATATCCCTGAGTCCCATCAGGTTAGCATCGCTAAGTCTCACCTAAAAGGTAGGGCTCTTCAATTTTGGATAAGGTTGGAAGATCATAAAGAGTCTCGCGGTGAGTACCATACTTCTAATTGGAAAGACATGAGGCGAGAACTTAATTTAAAATACCGACCTTCTACCAGTGACTAACCAACTAGTTTTAAGCTTAGGTCACCCCTTATTCATCAAACCTTTCATTGTTGCACTTTCAAGACCCCTACCCCTAGTGACCGTCATCTAGAGCACCACCATACCTCTTTTGTTGGGACAAACTGTGAACATTACTGTGGTCGAGAGCACCCATCCTTTAATAACATCAGGATTCCCACCATGTAGGTTTTCTCCTAGCCTTGATGGCCGACCCTCTATTGGGTCTTCTGTTGGATTGGTCCCATATGACTCCCCACTTGGGCCGACTCCTAGCCATCCAAATCAACCTTGTTTGAGCAAGCGTCCTCTCTGCGTGGTGACTCCTAATTTACCTCACTTTGTGGATGACTTGACCACCTTTCAAATCAAGGAGAATTCAGAGGCTACCCAACCTTTAGCCTCCCCAGTTCTTGACCCTACCAGTGTCATTTTAACCAAAATATGCATTACAAAGAAAAAGCCCCTTGAACCTAAAACTGAGTACATCCATTTCGTGGATAATAAGGATATTAGAGAGAACGAGGATTTCTTTGAGGATGAAACTGAACTGATTGATTTAGACTCCCTGCATAACTTAAACCCTGAGTTAGGAGATTTAAAACCTATAGGCATTGATACCTTAGTCCTTCCTGATCCTAGTCTCCTAAAGGATACCCTTTTGGATAAGATCTGCCTGGGTGATATTAAGTTGATCTCGAAAGAAACTGATATGACCTTGAATACATTGAAATTGAATTCGGAAGTTTTGAAAGATTCCAATCAAGCACACTGGAAATAGTGATATATTCATACTTATATATGGTGCATACCTGCATTGCTGTCAGTGGAAAGCATGAGAAGAAAATAGAAACCAGTTAAGCAAAAATTTGAAGGCAAATTACAAATAAGTATGAATTTGCTAATAGCTAGATTAGCTTACATTTTTGGACAAGCAATCCCACCATATGATGCCTTTGCCGTCTATTAAACCATTATCGAGCACAGTTATTTTTGGTATGTTTTTTAATACGATCCACGTATCGATTTGATTTGTCCACAATCTGTTTGGAGCCACAAGTCCTCCACTTATCTGCTTGTCAATTCAAAATTTCGATTGATTTAGATATAATGACAGTCTTTCTCAAGATAATATTTACCCAAATAATAGAATAATTAAAAGTGACATAATTACCAAAAATTTCAAGCTGGAACTACACGGCCCTTCAAACATTATTTTGCTTAGTAAATAGTTCTTTCCTCCTTTGTCTGCCACAACAAAATATGGATTTCTAGGATCTGCACAGGCAGCCTTCCACGCATTCAAAAAAGCCTTTATTGAGAACAAACTAATTTGTTAGAAAAATATTTGCATGTTTTATTAAAAAAGTTAATAAAAAAAGAAATTTAAGAAGAAGAAGAAGAATGCATAAATTTAAAGAAACAATTTACAAAATTTATATTAGTGTCATCTGTCTTGCCATCTCCTCTTGCTCCGTATGTAATCACATTATAAACTGGGGAAGCTCCAGCAATAACCGCAACCATCAAATATAAAAATATGATTAATATAAATTCCTACATAAATAATTTAAAAATAATTAATCTACAATGCAAAGAAAATGTCATTTCTAACATTTCAAGGAAGATAATAGCAATAAAAAAAGGGAAATAAAAATACCAATTTTTTCGAGGTGTTAAAACTCTACATTGTGTTGATTTTGAATGTGAAAAAGGAGCACTATAAATCTTATAATTAAATTTTAAGAGGTTGTTAGGTAGCAGACTTTAAGCAGCATTTAAACAAAAATTTCGTTTCGGACAGCCTTTTTTTGCTTCTTAAATCAACTTTTTAGTAAAAAAAAAAATTAGTAAAAAATTAAAAATTTTATTCTAGAAAGCTACTTTAAGAACCAACAAGAAAGCCGTCTCAAACGAAGCCAAAATTATGCCAAATAACGAAAATGGTAATTTTAAATCATACAGAATCTTAACATTTTTTTCTCTTCTATTTTGTCTTAAATCTCGAATTTAGTAAATCTTAGCATTTGCCGAATTTATTTTAGACATTATGATTACTCTTTTGTATTCTCTATATTAGCCAACACCTATATTCTCTTCTAAAAATTCCTTCAGGTGATTGTTTTGTCATCGAGAAACTCTTAAGAAAAGAAGAAAAGTTATAGAAAGGGAAGATAGATAGATGTCTAACCATTGTTTTCACTTGTATATATCAACACCAAGTTAGATCTATCAATCCTCTTCTACTATTATGTAGGACAACATAGTTTTGCTGACAAAAGGACCCTTGGAAAGAACCGAAAGAAGAACCTTGGATTCTTTGGCACCTTCGACAACAAATTATCAAAATACAGAAAGAAGTCTCTCTATCTTCCCCATTTTTTTCTACAAAGACAAGAATAATAATCAGAGCAGTATTTTCCTTTAAAGACAATCCATTGGGCGCAACAAAGATGACTAAAATACCTAGAGGATGATTACATCTTAGGGAATGCTTCTGAATGCACAAGGCATTAGGCATGTTAGACTCTCAGAGGTATTACTGAAGAGAGGACAAGTCTAGCGGTTTATATTCTTTGTTGCGATGTAGTCTTTTTATTTCTCGCACAACAAATTAATTAAGACTTCTCTAATTCTTAAATATATAGTAAAATTAGTTGTTTTCATAGATAATATATAGTTATATATATTAAAATGAATATCTTCTTTACCTCACAATATGAATTACAACTTCTCTTCAACTTTTATTATAGATAGATATTAGCATAATTTTTTTATTAATACATAACAAAAATATTGATAAATTATAAAATATGGTATATGAATAGTTTACAAATTTCAAGAGATGTGATTTACATATTAAATTTAAGGGCAGTGATTTAATATTAGGAGAATCAAAAGCTCTTGTTGAAAAACTCTTGTAGGTATATTCCGAAAGATTCTCTTGTATCATTGTAATCCTACAAATGGAAGGAGCAAATAATTATTTAATTATTGTATAAGTAAATAAATTTAAAGAGTGAAGCTGACCATATGTTATGATTAATGTAAACACCAAGAGATATCACTAAAATTATTTTGCTTATTTGCAAATAAATAAACCATATAGTTCATGATTTTCTCACATATCTACAAATTTAACATACATGTTTAAATTATCATTAAGAAAGTTTAAAATATTTTTAAAGTAATATGAAAAAATATTTAAAGATCAAATGTTCATCTAATCAGGTAGATGGAATTCAATATACAACATGTAATAGATGGAAAATATTTAATTTCATATTGCGGAATTGAATTTTATTTGGAAAGAAATAAAATATTTTTTATATAATAATATATAGACATAAAAAGTATCTATATATATACTATATCTACTATATGAAATTGTGAATTTCTTTTCAAATAAAATCTAAGATCTGCAACAACATAATAGGGAAAAGGAAAATCATAATAAAAAATTGTTATATTTCATTTTTGTTTATTCCCTCACTTCTTACAGAACTTTTTGCATAACTAGCCAACAAAAACTAATAAAATATGAGCAAATTCTAAAAACACAAAATTTAGAAAAAAATATAGGGATTGAAAACAAACGGAGGCGGGGTATTAACAGTTCCGCTGCATTTCTATCCACATCAAACCGGATTAATTAGAGAAAAAAGCAAAAATAGGAAGACAATGCGAACATGGACAAAGAAGAAGAAGAAGAAGACGAAGAAGAGAAAAATGTTACATGCTCGCGAGTGCGGACGATAACAAAGGAGCACATTGGAGAGGAATACGTCTCAGAGAAGACGAGGCGGCGGGATGATGCGATTCCACCATTTGTTTCAGCAAATAAGGGCAGGATTTACCGTGTGCCGAGTTTTAATGCGCGTGAAAAGCAGAGAGGCGGGATTTCTATTTGAGAAGAAAAAAAAGATAATATGATTTAATATATAATTAATGACTCATAAATATACTTAATTAGACTAGTAAAAAATGTCTGTATATTAAATGTGCGTTAACAATTTAAATATAAAAAATCATATTATAAATATTTTAATTATTTTATAATAATTAAGATGAAAAAAATTATTAATCGCTGGACCATTGCTGGAGGCCCTCACCTTCGCCAGACCACCTCTGGAGGTCCTCACCTTCGCTGGACCACCCCCGGAGGCCCTCACCTTCACCGGACTACTGCCTGAGGCCCTCACCTTCGCCGGACCACCACCAGAGGCCCTCACTTTAGCCGGACCACCGCCAAAGGCCCTCACCTTTGTTGAACCACTACAGAAGGCTCTCACATTCGCCGGACCATTACCTGAGGCCCTCGTCTTCACCGGACCTCCACCTGAGGCCCTTGCTTTCGCCGGATCATCACCTAAGGTCCGGAGTTCTGCCAGACCACCACCTGAAACCCAAACTTCTGCCGGAACATCACCTGACACCCAGAGTTTTATTGTACAGTTGTAACTTGTAATCTGATCGCCTTTGGAGGCGAGTAAGCCCATTATAACCAACTCAAGTTCTAGTGAAATCTTTTCAACTGGGCTAGGCCCCGTGGATTTTCCCCTTTCAAGGGTTTTCGACGTAAAAAATCTCGTGTTCTCTGTGTGTGAGCTGGATATCCGTGAAACACTAAGACTTATAATTATAACTCTATCGCCATGTATATTCTAGCCCACAACAATTATAATTATAATTATTTTATTAATGTCAAATATACTCTATTAATTACTGAATTAATGTAATAGATATATTGATTAATTGACTTCTATGACTCTTATTCCTTTCTTGTCTTCGGCATCTTCAGACCTCTTCACCCTACTTTTTTTAATGGTTTGTTATTGAAGTATTGAATATCATGATTATGTTATTTTTATATTTTGGTTTCTTGGAATTGGGTTTCTTAAACCACTACATTCAAATCGATGTGCTTATGGCAAAAATTATTGTGAATCATGCTAGCCAGGTAAACATCTTACCGCACTTCAAAAAGTTTATGCTAAATAGGAGAAGTTTTACAAGTTAAGGTAAAATTTGGATTTTGTCTTTACAAATAATTATTTTTATCATAATTTTATTTGTCTTTACAAATATTTTTTAGTATTTATTAGACTAACTAATAGATTATTCTGAACCAATTTTAACTAAAATTAATATCTACAAATAGATGTTCTCTATGTTGATTGTTTTCCTATGTTTAATTATGAAATTGAATAATTTTTCAAAATTCTAATGTTACTTTATATGTGGTTAAATATCCTAGCTCCATGCGAGCATGATGGAGGATGGGGACGAGCGAGCGATTGCGATGGACAATGAAAGATGTCAGTTTCAGGGTTGTTTCAGGTTTGCGGGTTGATCCAAACCCAACCTAAAATTATAATCTGGTCAGAATATAAAATATGAACCCACCCGTTTTCCAAAAGATTTGATCCAGCTATAAATTTTTGGGTCTAATTTTCTGGTCAAATCAAATAATGATATCCTAGCTCCATGCCCGCAACCCACGATGTACTTCCGATAACCTTTCAATTATCACACTAGTGATGCACAACCTAATATTCTCTACAACCGTAACCACTTATGGGATGTAAACCATTAGAGACACCCGAGAGCACTAACGCCATCGAACCCCCCTGACAACCTCTTTGTCTTCCATTGTCATAAGCCAGTCACTATGCCGAAGTTTTTTTTTTCTTCTTCTCAATACTAATATGTATCTATCATTATATTTAAATCAGCCTACAGAAACATAAAATGCATATATTATCTTCTTCAGATATAAAATATTATTTAAAAACATAATTTAATAATAACATTTCATACCATATCTAGCCAAGGAATCTGCCAGCGATAAGATGGCTGCTTCTCTTCTATTGCCTGTTGGTTTTGAAGACGAGAGTGAGAGTGAGATGTTATCTTGAGGTAGAGTGAGAGAGAGAGAAGTTTTGGGAAGGAAGAAATATGCGTGGAGGATGAAATCAAAAGAACATGAAATGTGGGAGAGAGAGAGAACGTTATGGAAGGGAGAAAGTGTTGTGTGGGATCACATATTTTTATAAAGAGATGATTAAGCTATTTTTAATTGTTTCCAATTTCGTCATTAATTGTATTTATTTGATAGTATATTTATCAAAATATAATTAAAATAAAAAAAAATTAAATTTAAATTAAAAAAATAAATGTGATTAAAAACAACTACTTGACTTTTAAAATAGAGAGTTCAGAACTAAAAAATCAGATCAAAATGAATTTAAGTTCAAGAAAATATAAATCAAAGTAGAATTGAGCCTATTTGAATTTTTTTAAATGAGTGTTTAAAATAAAAAGTTGAAGCAAAATAAATACCCGTCATGTGAATTTGTGCAAATAATATTTTTTTATAAATATATAATTAGCACGTGTTTCATCATAGAGATTTTAATATGTATGCCTTAAAACAAACTCTAATAACTCAACTCACTTTTGTCTATTGGCTTAAATATTTGACTACTAACTAAGAGATCTTATATTTGAATCTTATCTATACAATGTGCATTTAAATTTACCTTAATTGATCTAAATATTTCAAAAAAAAACTCTAATATACAAGTTAAAAAGAAACACTCAAATTTCAGAATAAATTCAATCATTTAAATAATAATAAGTTAATAACTTAATTTAGATATCTTAAAAAATTATTAGAATAACTCACTTAAAAAGTGGAAAAAGACTGGAGAGGATGGGCAATAAGATTTCATATCATATATTGTCGCTTCGGGCTCTTTTTCAGTTTTCTATCTTTTAGATGGGAAGAGAGAAACATATACGGATAGAGAGCAATCGAAGAGAAAGAGAGAGAGTGAGTAGGCAAAGTTTTTTTTTTTCAGGAGAATTTTTGGAAAGGAATTAAGAAGAGAGGTAAAAAGAGATGCGGAGGGCACGACAGAGAAAGGAAGGAAATAAATATGTGCATTTTAATTAATTTTATTTAAAAATAAATTTATTTATTTTAAAAAAATTTATATAACTTTTAGTTATTTTGTAAAATATTAAAAATAAAATAAATAGTTGTCGCCACCACCATCACAAGTGTCAAGTATTATAATTATTGTTGCAGACTAAAACATTCGCGGCAGTAAAAAAACTAAGAGCTTACCGCCCTAGCATTGAATGAAGATCTAGTATTAACATAGATAAAAAGTGAAGCGTGCAAGTCATAAGAGACATCAAAAATTTATTTGGAAAATCTTGAAATGGGAAAAAACTAGGAGGTTTGACCCAATAAAAGTGATTTCACTAGTGTTTTATCATTGACTACAAATGAATTAGCCATTCTAATGCAGAGCATTTTTAGCTTAAAGCATTCCTTAAGATTAGCTTCTCTAAGTTTGTTAGTTATGCTTTCTAAAATATTCTTGATTTGCCTATGAATAGGCAAAATATTGTATTAGGAAGAGATCATTGATGAAATATATTTCTCCTTTTGAAGCTTTTAAGCTTGTGTTTTTTTTCTTCCCTGGATTGGGATTAAACCCTTCTTGCAGGTCTGATTCTTCCGACGATCCAACTACATAAGTTTGGTATCAGAGTCTGGAGCTTGCGAAGATCGATGGACTGCAGAAGAAGGTCAGCTGTCGACGGCAATCGAAGCCGAAGAATAAAAAGGGTGGTCGACGAAGATCGACACCAAAGAAGGTGGGCTATTGATGACGATCGAAGCTGTATAGCCTTCTATTAAGCTCAAGCCACTTGATCGAGTAGACAAAAACCTCTAATCAATAAGGAGAATGCGATTATTGTTGGCAACCATACCGGCATCTTCGCCTTCGCTCCTCTCATCGACTCTGCGCAATCCCAAACAGCTTCATAATCAGCCGGCAGTCGCCAACGATTACCCTCCGCTTGAACTTTCGCTTCGATGGCGTGACTCCCCTCCGTTCCAACATCCTCTGTCTCCCAACTCATCCCGACCACACTCGCAATCGCCCCCATAACCCATCATTCTGCCTTCAGAACCCAAGGCCATCTATGCGCCGGTGATCGACACCTTCCATTATCCGACCCAGCTTCCACGTCCTGACCCGACAAAATCCAACGAAGACGGTTCCGCATCATACCAGATCTGCAACCACAATTCTGCTTCATCTCACAACCAGAGCCAAGATCTGAAGCCCTTCCAACTCGATTTCAGCCCCGACACTACATCAGTAACTTCTTGCAACCTTGACCATATGGACATCAGCAGGGTTTCTGCCGCTCGCCAGCGAGAAGAAGAACTTCGCGTCAAGCAATGCCAGGCAGAAGAGCAGTCTCGGCTTAGTCTCCGCGATGGTGTCTACTCCCTAGACGAGGAAGATGATGCTGACGACCCTCTCTCCGGTCTTGGCGCCTTTGAACTTACCCAGCTCTACCGCGCTTACCACATCTACACCCCCTTGGTCTCACAGACCGCTTCCGTCAGTAATACTTTAAGAATCGCAAATTCCAGCTCACCTCAAACTTCCAGGTCTCCTCCATGACGCCTTTCCTGGAATCACATCAGACCTTCTTTGTCCAAATCGCAGGGTTCTTCATCGTTGAAGAACGCGTGCTCCGCACCGTCTGAGGACTCGTCACCCACATGGAAGTCGATGCGCTATGAGAGACCGCTGTAGCAAAAATAGTCTCTATTTTGAAGGACCAGTTCTCCAGGATGCAGACGGCTTGTCATCTCCTCCTCATCAAAGACTATGTTAGTACCCTTAGAGTTAATCTTCAGCGCTCTGGTTACATGTTGATCCTCTACTAGACGTCCTCAGCAAGCATCTCAATAAATACCACGACCTTCTGCTTTATGACTGCCGCCGCCAGATCTTGGAGGCCCTCATGGCCAACAAATTCGAACATATGCTCATGAAGAAAGAGTACGAATATTCTATGAATCCCGCATCTCTGCTTTTCATGCGCATTAAATCTCGGCAATTGGTAAATCCTACAATTATTTGCCGAAACAAATGGGGGAATCGCGTTATCCCACTTCCTCATCTTCTATGAGATGTATTCCTCTCCAATGTGCTCCTTCGTCCTCATTCGCACTCGCGATCATGCAACATTTTTCTCTTCTTCGCCTTCTTCTTCTCTCTTCTTCGTCCATGTTCGCATTGTTTTCCTATTTTTGCTTTTTTCTCTAATTAATCCGGTTTGATGTGGATAGAAATGCAGCGGAACTATTAATGCCCCACCTCCGTTTGCTTCCAATCCCTATATTTTTTTTTTAATTTTCTGTTTTTAGAATTTGCTCATATTCTACTAGTTCTTGTTGGCTAGTTAATGCAAAATGTTATGTAAGAAGGGAATAAACAAAAGGGAGGGAAATATAACAATTTTTTGATTATGATTTTCCTTTTTCCTATTATATAGTTCCAGGTCTTAGATTTTATTTGGAAAGCAATTCACAATTTTATATAATAGATATAGTATATATATAGATACTCTTTATATCTATATATTATTATATAAAAAAGATTTTATTTCTTTCCAATTAAAATTCAAATCTGCATATCAAATTAAATATTTTTCATCTATTACATGTAGTGCATTGAATTCCATCTACCTGATTAGATGAACATTTGATCTTTAAATATTTTTGCATATTACTTCAATAACATTTTAAACTTTCTTAATGATAATTTAAACATGTATGTTAAATTTGTAGATATATGAGAAAATCATGAGCTATATGGTATATTTATTTGCAAATAAGCAAAATAATTTTAGTGATATCTCTTGGTGTTTACATTGACCATAGCATATGGTCAGCTTCACTATTTAAATTTATTTTCTTATACAATAATTAAATAATTATTTGCTCATTCCATTTGTAGGATTACAAAGGTATAAGAGAATATTTCGGAATATACCTACAAGAGTTTTTCAACAAGAGCTTTTGATTCTCCTAATATTAAATCTCTGCCCTTAAATTTAGTAAGTAAATCACATCTCGGATCCATTGCTTCTTCTAAACGTCCTGCACGTTCAAGAATGTCAACCCTGCAACCATAGTGCTCAATATCTGGTGCACTTCCATATAAAGGAAGCATTTGAATAGAGGACATTCTGCATTCTTCCATAAGCTCGGCATTGCTACAGGCACTAAGGATGTTGGTGAAAGTAACATGATTGGGCTTGACTTTGGCCTCATGTATCTCTTTGAATGAATCTAAGACTTCCTTTCCCCTTCCATACATTGCAAGGCCTGCAATCATTGAGCTCCAAACAAAGATATTTCTATTTATGACAGACCTGAACATATAGAGTGCATTCTCCAGATCTCCACACTTTGAGTACATGTCAATTTCAATTGCACCCAACTGTGAACATGTTGATAATGCAGCAACAAGTGTGAGCTGGTTAGACTCGGCATTAGCATCCTGCAGTTCATTCCAAATAGTTATATCGTAATATGACATTTCATCAAACACATGAAGGGCAACAGCAAATTCACAAGATTTTCCATATGCAACTCTGTCAACTAGACGCCTCCCCACCACTTCATTAAGGTATTGCTTACAAACACTGCTTGATAGGTCTTTGTTGCACCTCGCGACATCAATGATAATCTGACCAACTAAATATTTGGTAATTTGTTTCCCGAATCTCGAATAATCCATGGCATCCTCCGATAAAATGCCTTGCAGCCAATATTGAGTGCTGGCGTTGACGCCACCCACCAATAAGGCCATTAGTGGCACCTTCACCATAAGCTTATCAAGGTACTTCTTAACAAAAGCATAGAAGTCAAGTTGACCACCATAAGACAAAAAAGTTAACATAATCTTCAACAAACGATCGAACAATGCCACGAAAGGAAAGGCTGGGATAATATCAGAGGTCTGGATCTGAAATGAGAGAACGTTCATAGAATATTCATACTCTTTCTTCATGAGCATCTGCTCGAATTTGTTGGCGGCGAGGGCCTCCAAGATCTGGCAGCGACAGTCATAGAGCAGAAGGTCATGGTATTTGTTGAGGTGCTTGCTGAGGACGTCTAGTAGATGATCGACATGTAACCAGAGCGCCGGAGATTAACTCTAAGGGTATTAACATAGTCTTTCATGAGGAGGAGATGACAAGCCGTCTGCATCCTTGAGAACTGCTCCTTCAAGATAGAGACCATTTTTGCTACAGCAGTCTCCCATAGCGCATCGACTTCCATGCGGTTGACGAGTCCTCCACCGGTGCGGAGCACGCGTTCTTCAACGATGAAGAACCCTGCGATCTGGGCAAAGAAGGTTTGATGTGATTCCAGGAAAGGCGTCATGGAGGAGACCTGGAAGTCCAAGGTGAGCGGAAATTTGCGGTTCTCAAAGTAATACTGGCGGAAGCGGTCCGTAAGACCAAGGGTTTGGTAGATGTGGTAAGCGTGGAAGAGCTGGGTAAGTTCAAAGGTGCCAAGATCAGAGAGAGGGTCGTCAGCATCATCTTCCTCGTCTAAGGAGTAGACACCATCGCGGAGACTAAGCCGAGACTGCTCTTCTGCCTGGCATTGCTTGACGCAAAGTTCTTCTTCTCGCTGGCGAGCGGCAGAAACCTTGTCGATGTCCATCTGGTCAAGGTTGCGGGAAGTTACTGATGTGGTGTCGGGGCCGAAATCGCGTTGGAAGGGCTTCAGATCTTGGTTCTGGTTGTGAGATGAAGAAGAATTGGGGTTAAAGATCTGGTATGATGCGGAACCGTCATCGTCGGATATTGTCGGGTCAGGACGTGGAAGCTGGATCGGATAATGGAAGGTGTCGGTCACCGGCGCATAGATGGTCGTGGGTTCTGAAGGCGGAGTGATGGGTTCTGGGGGCAATTGCGAGTGTGGTCGGGATGAGTTGGGAGATGGAGGATGTTGGAACGGAGGGGAGTCACGCCACCGAAGCGGAAGTCAAGCGGAGGGTAATCGTGGGTGATTGCTGGCTGATTACGAAGTGTTTGGGATTGCGCAGAGCCGATGAGAGGAGCGAAGGCGAAGGCAAAGACGCCGGTATGGTTTCCGACAATAATCGCATTCTCCTTATTGATCGGATGTTTTTGTCTACTCGATCAAGTGATTCCTTCGCTTGAGCTTAATAGAAGGCTATACAGCTTCGATCGTCATTGACAACCCACCTTCTTTGGTGTCGATCTTCGTCGACCACCCTTCTTATTCTTCGGCTTCGATCGCCGCCGACATCCGACCTTCTTCTGCATACCATCGATCTTCACAAGCTCCAGGCTCTGATACCAAACTTATATAGTTGGATCGTCGGAAGAATCAGATCAACAAGAAGGGTTTAATCTCAATCCAGGGAAGAAGAAAAACACAAGCTTAAAAGCTTTAAAAGGATAAATATATTTCATCAATGATCTCTTCCTAATACAATATTTTGCATATTTATAGGCTAATCAAGAACATTCTAAAAAGCATAAGTAACAAACTTAGATAAGGTAATCCTAAAGAATGTTTTAAGCTAAAAATGCTCTACATCAGAAGGGCTAATTCATTTATAGTCAATAATAAAACACTAGTGAAATCACTTTTATTGGATCAAGCCCCCTAGTTTTTTCCCATTTCAGGATTTTTCACATAAATTTTTTGTCTCTTATGACTTTTGCACGCCTCACTTTTTATCTATGTTAGTACTAGATCTTCATTTGTATCCTATCTCTAAGTTAAGTGTGGCAGAAATGAGGATGCTCAGGTGGATGAGTGGCTTTACCCTTAGGATAGGATACAAAATGAGCATATATGTGAAAAGGTTGGAGTAGCTCCAGTAGAAGATAAGATTAAAGAGAGTCGCCTTAGATGGTTTGGTCACATAAAACAGCGGCCTTCCGATGACCCGGTTAGGAGAGTAGAGGTATTAGATTTGACTTATGTTAAGAAAGGTAGAGATAGACCTAAAAAGACTTAGTTAGAAAATATTAGGAATGACCTTTCTTTATTAGATTTAAACGAGAATTTGACTTTTAATAGGACACAATGGAGAAAAAGGATTCATGTAGCCAGTGGGATAAAGGCTTAATGTTGTTGTTGTTGTTGTTGTAGTGCTAGATTTTTATTCAAAGCTAAGACGGTAAGCTCTTTGTTTTTTTACTGCCGCGAATGTTGTAGTCTGTAACAATAATTATAATACTTGACACTTGTGATGGTGGTGGTGACAACTATTTATTTTATTTTTAAAATTTTACAAAACAATTAAAAGTTATGTAAATATTTTTAAAATAAATAAATTTATTTTTAAATAAAAATTAATTAAAAGCACATATTTATTTCCTTCCTTTCTCCGTCTTACCCTCTGCATCTCTTTTTCCCTCTCTCCTTAACTCCTTTCCAAAATTTCTCCTGGAAAAAAACTTTGCCTACTCACTCTCTCTCTCTCTCTTCCTCTTCGATTGCTCTCTATACGTATATGTTTCTCTCTTCCCATCCAAAAGATAGAAAACTGAAAAAGAGCCCGAAGCGGCAATATATGATATGAAATCTTATTTCCCATCCTCTTCAATCTCCTCCCACTTTTTAAGTGAGTTATTCTAATAATTTTTTAAGATATCTAAATTAAGTTATTAACTTATTATTATTTTAATGAATGAATTTATTCTAAAATTTGAGTGTTTCTTTTTAACTTGTATATTAGAATTTTTTTTTGAAATATTTAGATCAATTAAGGTAAATTTAAATGCACATTGTATAGATAAGATTCAAATATAAGATCTCTTAGTTAGTAGTCAAATATTTAAGCCAATAAACAAAAGTGAGTTGAGTTATTAGAGTTTGTTTTAAGGCATACACATATTGAAATCTCTATGATGAAACACGTGCTAATTATATATTTATAAAAAAATATTATTTGCACAAATTCACATGACGGGTATTTATTTTGCTTCAACTTTTTATTTTAAACACTCATTTAAAAAAATTCAAATAGGCTCAATTCTACTTTGATTTATATTTTCTTGAACTTAAATTCATTTTGATCTGATTTTTTAGTTCTGAACTCTCTATTTTAAAAGTCAAGTAGTTGTTTGCAATCACATTTATTTTTTTAATTTAAATTTAATTTTTTTTTATTTTAATTATATTTTGATAAATATACTATCAAATAAATACAATTAATGACGAAATTGGAAACAATTAAAAATAGCTTAATCATCTCTTTATAAAAATATGTGATCCCACACAACACTTTCTCCCTTCCATAACGTTCTCTCTCTCTCCCACATTTCATGTTCTTTTGATTTCATCCTCCACGCATATTTCTTCCTTCCCAAAACTTCTCTCTCTCTCACTCTACCTCAAGATAACATCTCACTCTCACTCTCGTCTTCAAAACCAACAGGCAATAGAAGAGAAGCAGCCATCTTATCGCTGGCAGATTCCTTGGCTAGATATGGTATGAAATGTTATTATTAAATTATGTTTTTAAATAATATTTTATATCTGAAGAAGATAATGTATGTATTTTATCTTTCTATCAAAACTAAAAAATTTGAATAAAATTTTAAAAAAATCAAATTAAATAAATTTTAAATATGTTATTTCCTAACAATTGTAAATATTGATTGCTTCTTAAAAAGTAATTACTGATTATTTTTTATTCATTAGGATTATCTAATTAAATAACCTCTTAAAGCAAAACAATGGAATCTAAATAGGTTTCTTAGGAAATCATATTAAGAAATCGTGCTCTCTCTCTCTCTCTCTCTCTCCCATATTTTATGTTCTTTTGATTTATCCTCATGTGGGAGAAAGGGAGAGACGATTGAGCTATTTTTAAATTGTTTCTAATTTCGTTATTAATTGTATTTATTTGAGAGTATATTCATAAATAAGTGTTATTTATCTTTAAAAATGCTCAAACTAATATTTATGTATTTTTTATTTTTTTAAAATATATCACCGCCTTGGAAAATCATTGTTGTTATCATCATCTTCACGATTGTCATTGCTGTGCATCGGTTGCTATGCTTTTATAAATCAATTTATTCAATATTTAATTAAATTAAAAATAAAATATTAAATATATTTTATTTTATATCAAAATATAATTAAAATAAAATAAAATAAAATTTAAAATTAAATTAAAAAAAATAAATGTGATTACAAACGACCACATGACTTTTAAAATAGAAAGTTCAGAACTAATAAATCAGATCAAAATGAATTTAAGTTCAAGAAAATATAAATCAAAGTAGAATTGAGCCTATTTGAATTTATTTAAATGAATGTTTAAAATAAAAAGTTTAAGCAAAATAAATATCCGTCATGTGAATTTGTGCAAATAATATTTTTTTTATAAATATATAATTAGCACGTGTTTCATCATAGAGATTTCAATATGTGTATGCCTTAAAACAAACTCTAATAACTCAACTCACTTTTGTTTATTGGCTTAAATATTTGACTACTAACTAAGAGATCTTATATTTGAATCTTATGTATACAATGTGCATTTAAATTTGCCTTAATTGATCTAAATATTCTAAAAAATAAACTCTAATATACAAGTTAAAAAGAAACACTCAAATTTTAGAATAAATTCAATCATTTAAATAATAATAAATTATTAACTTAATTTAGATATCTTAAAAATTATTAGAATAACTCACTTAAAAAGTGGGAGGAGATTGAAGAGGATGAGCAATAAGATTTCATATCATATATTGCCGCTTCCGACTCTTTTTTGGTTTTCTATCTTTTGGTTGGGAAGAGAGAAACATATACAGATAGAGAGCAATCGAAGAGGAAGAGAGAGTGTGAGTAGGCAAAGTTTTATTTTTTTCACGAGAAATTTTGGAAAGGAATTAAGGAGAGGGAAAAAGAGATGCGGAGGGCAGGACGGAGAAAGGAAGGAAATAAATATGTGCATTTTAATTAATTTTTATTTAAAAATAAATTTATTTATTTTAAAAATATTTACATAACTTTTAATTATTTTGTAAAATTTTAAAAATAAAATAAATAGTTGTCATCACCACTATCACAAGTGTCAAGTATTATAATTATTGTTGCAGACTACAACATTCGCGGCAGTAAAAAAATAAAGAGCTTACCGCCCAAGCATTGAATAAAATCTAGCACTAGCATAGATAAAAAGTGAGGCGTGCAAAAGTCATAAGAGTCATAAAAATTTATGTAAAAAATCCTGGAATGAGAAAAA